TTCACCTACAAGACTACACGGTGCCATAACGCAGAAGACCGTGATGTGAACCATTGCAATACTGCAATTTGAATTCCAAGAACCTCTTAATTCTCTTTGGAATAAGGGATAATTTATGTTTAATCCGTTCCTCTGCTGTTACACCTTGTGGAAATGGGCGATATTACCGTCATTTCGGAGGTACATACTGCCTCCATCTTCAGGGTCAAATTACCACTTTAATGGAAGGTATCTCTTATTCTGAACTGACTTAAAGTTACTGTCGTCTGGGATATGAAACTGTGAGGTCATGTAGATCGTTACCGACGTTTCGGAAGAACGTTTTGCCTCCACCTTTAAAGAGTTCTACTGCTTTGTAGGCAACACTACAGTAATCTTCGTGATAAAATTAATCTAAATAAGCTTAATTATCAGGGAATGCCTTTCTTATCACCATGTGCATGAAAAAGTAATCCAATGTCGTCCTCTCGCAGTCAACGCCGTATGTGGGCTCTATGTGAAATTAATGNAAGTATATAGTTATATGTATATGGGGTGGGCACGTGGTAGCGTAGTTGGTTGAGGTCGGAAGGTCGCGGGTCCAAGTCCCGATGAGGTCAATGGATTTTATCAGTTGGCCTAATCATTCCAGCCATACTATGGCCCTGAGATCGACTCAAGCCCTAACAGAAATGAGTATCAGGAATCTTCCTGAGGGTAAAGGTCGGCCGGTGCGTAAGTCTGACAACCTCACCCCTATCTGTGAGCCGATTTTCTAGAAAACGCGGTAGCGTAGTTAGTTGAGGCACTATGCTACAATCCGGAAGGTCGCGGGTCCAAGTCCCGATGAGGTCATTGTATTTTTTTCAGTTGGCCTAATCATTCCGGCCGCACTATGGCCCTGAGATCGACTCAAGCCCTAACAGAAATGAGTACCAGGAATCTTCCTGGGGGTAAAGGTCGGCCGGCGCGTAAGTCTGACAACCTCACCCCTGTCTGTAAGCCGATTTTCTAGAAAATGCGGGAGCCTCGAAGTCTCAAAACAATATTGGTCTCTACGTCCACCTCCCTCCTCTCCCGGGCCAAAATAGGAAAGAGACCCTGGCGTACCCTACGAATACAGCGTTATGATGTCCGAAAAAATATTCAGGATGGCTGAATTAAATGAGACAAGACAGCGCCTGGCCTGTGCTGCTGAACTATTGGGTGAAAAATTAAATACGTACGCCTTTAACAACATTGTCGCGTCATCAGGGAATTTTGTCTGGAAGTAAATGCAGAGAAAATTAATTAATTCTTCATACAGACATCTCGAGATCGGAACTCAGACCATAACCACGTAAGTATTTTTAAGCATCTGAGGTTCTCGCAGAAGTGGTTACGAAGAATTCTATATTTTGGGATATAAAACCATGTACTCCATTGAAAGTAAACCAACGTTTCGGAGGAACATACCTCCTCCATCTTCCGATGCTAAAAGTAAACAATGTAAGTAGCCAGAAAGAAGAAACATAAGTAATATTTAGTAATTCAGTTCCTAGAGGCACTATGCTACAAGCCGGAAGGTCCCGGGTTCGAGTCCAGATGATGTCATTGGATTTATTTCAATTTACCTAATCCTTCCAGCCGCACTATGGCCCTGGGTTCGACTCAGCCTCTAACAGAAATAAGTACCAGGAATCATCCTGCGGGTAAACGGCGGCAGACGCGTAAGGCTTACAACCTTACAGCCATCTGTGAGCTGATTATCTAGNTAAAAGTAAACAATGTAAGTAGCCAGAAAGAAGAAACATAAGTAATGTTTAGTAATTCAGTTCCTAGAGGCACTGTGTTACAAGCCGGAAGGTCCCGGCTTCAAATCCAGATGAGGTCATTGGATTTCTTTCAATTTACCTAATCCTTCCAGCCGCACTATGGCCCTGGGGTCGACTCAGCCTCTGACAGAAATGAGTACCAG